ATTAGTACTCTGTAGTGTGCATTCTGTGATCATTTCTCATGCGGGTTGTTGAAAAAGAAAAGACAAATTAAGTCATTTCCAAAACTTGAAGGCCAAGTGTTAAATTACATAATAAGGTATTTACCATGGTAAATAAAAACAGTTACCCTTACTGCCAATATTGGTTTTTCAGGATGAAACTCAGACTGCTGTGTTGCAATGGTCATTCATTTCTGTGAGTATGATCATCTTTAACTATTACAGTGTAACCTCTCCTTTGCGATACCTCTATTCAAGGGACACCTTCAGTCAGGTGACACAAAATTTGGTCCCTGAAACATTTTCACATAATCTTGGTAGTTGTAACAGGTGTACCTCTATTGAAGGGACACCTCTATTCGGGGGAAAGGGAAACTTTACCTGGATCCCGAAACCCGCATTTGACCTCCATTCAGGTGATTCAGGGGGGCATTCAAAAGGTGACTGTCCACAAAAGCGTTAATAAATTCAAGTGCTCACTAGTCACAATTGCAACAGCTTTCAAAACTTTAACTACCTTACTTAAATCAATGCACTGTACTTGTGAGAATTCAACACACAAGATTGCAGAGGTAAGTTAATAATAATTTTTTAGACATAAGTTGCTTGAAACAATAACTGCAGCAGATTCCAAGGCAGGATAAAAGAAAACATTTTTATTTGTTGGTTAATTTTTACACTTGCCTTGGTCCCAAGGGTTTCCCCTGAATAGAGGTTCCATTGTATAATATGACATCTGTAAATAATTATCTTCTTTTTTAGTTTTGTCTTTTTATAATAACAGACAAATGTTTACTCATATTTACCTCTTTACCAATGACCACTTTCTCTAATTCCAGTGGAAGTGGATATTCCATACATTCACTCAAGGCCACCTCTCCGTGATGACAACAGCCACTAATTTAAGGAGCTTTTCAAAAAATATACTTGTATTAAGCTCCATGTGATGGCCATTTCAAAGAAAATGACTCACTTTGGGTGTTGAGTAAGAGAGAGCTAACTGTCATGATTATGAATCAAATCTGCTGTGATATTGCTTATAACCACAGTATTACAGTGCTCAGGGCCTTAGTTGTTCAAGATGTGGATAACACTATCTGCTGCCGGATGTTGCCGCACTTGATTTCCCTAATATTATCCTGTGGATGGGGCTATCCAGCATTTGAACAACTGGGGCCTGGTTAGCCTGCGTAGCAAGCGTTTCCAATCGAGTTATTGCGCGAAAGTTAGAGCGGAAGCAAAAAAAAGGTTGAAGGGGGAGGGGGAGGGGAGAAGAGGAAACGCTTGCCCGCAAACCCCACGATTCTGGAAAACGCCCCTTGATATTTCACGGTTCGGTTCATTTGTAAATTGACAGCTCGTCAAAATAGAAACATAACGAACAGATTACCCCTGGATTACCTGATTTGTAAAATTACTTTGTTCTCTAATAGAACACGTTGCAGGCGATTGCAAGAAGTGTAATAAAAAAGATTTACGATAAAAGAAAGTTAAAACTATGAATGATTGCTTGATTGCTGCGGAATTTCTTGTTTTTTTATTGTGTGGCTTTATCTCGTCTGAAACCTTGTCGACACGTCAAAAATGATTTGTCCGGAACAATTCACTCCACCGGGTATAAGTTTTGCAGAGCGGCTGCTCTTCAGCCTTTGACGAAACGTTCTCTACAATAGATGCCAATAAATTTCCAATAAACAAAAAGAATCTTTTCATTTCAAAAAGCTGGCAAATCGCTTGTCCATGGCGGCTTTAGCTAGTGTCGAGTACCGATGTTCTGATTTATGTTGATGTTATCTCCAACAAACAGTCCATTTTTTCCAGTCAGATCTGCACGACGTCATTCTCAATAAATTGTCCTTCCCTAGTCTCCACTGCTCGATCTGCAATTATAGTTTGAAGACTCTGATCTCATAAACCTTCGCACCAACACGATTCAAATAAATATCAGTCCAAAGCATTTGTAATCTGCGACCACAAGATAAGATGAGACCAGATCTGTGACGCACGAAAACAAAGCATACCTGGTTTGATTGATGTTTCCAATGATAAGTAATCAACACTACCCGCACCGCGCCAATCAGAAGCTGCGTTCGTGGGCGAACGCAGTTTTTCAAAATCGTGGGGTTTGCGGGCAAGCGGTTCCTTCATTCCCTTCCCCCTCCCCCGTCATTCATTTTTTTTGCTCTTGTCCCAGTTTTCTTGACGAACCTCGCGAGGAAACGCTTGCTACGCAGGCTAGGGCCTGGTGGATAGATAGTGCTTATCCAACATTTGAATTACCAGGACCTGGTGGTAATTATGTGTCTGTTAAAGGAATTTTTCAACTTTGATTGACAAAAATTTCCTGGGTCCTATGGAGTATTCCTTCAATTGCAATGTGGCCAGTAAAAGCCAGTTATGCCTTTGCTGTAGTAAAAAACAGCTTCAAAGTTAGATTCAGGTTCATTTTGATTTAATGTACTTAACAATGATTCTCTTTAATTTCCTCTGTCTCCTAGCTCTAATAAATTATTAGGGCTAGGAGAAAAAGGATATTGAAAATTAAGCTAGGATAAATCAAAACTAACCAGTATTTATAACATACACAAGCACTATCACAGGGAACCCACACAATCTCGCAATGTGTGTACTGATTGCTATTTTATTGTAAATACACTGGATTTACCATTTGCTTCACCTATAGCGATAAATCACTATGTATATAAATCGAAATGAATAAACGTTGAATTACCTTACCTTTGGTGTATATGTATTGTCGTGCTTTTGCCTCAAAAGCGGTTTTTTGAGCGATTTTGAAGGATTTTGAGTTCGCTGTTGACAGCGTTTATTTAACATCGATTTATATACATAGTAAGTGATTTATTGCCATAACTGAAGCAAACGGTAAATCCACTATAAAATAACAATCGGTTACGCACACTGCGAGATTGTGTGGGCTCCCTGTAGTACTATTTACCTTTCAACTTATTTATTAATCTTCCTTTCTTTTGTTCATAGGCAGAAACAAACACCTTTAAACTAGAGCATAGCAGAAGAAGAGAGATTGCCCTTCCTGTCCTGATTTTAAGGTGGTGCATCAGGAGTCTGCTGAATAATCCCATTTGTACTTCAACTTGCAAATTTGAGGGAAACATATCATCCAAGTTGAACACAGCTGCACCAATTGAATGGACTGTTAACGTATTAAACCGTGAACTGAATAGTTTTAATTTTTATCTATGGCAAAGGATACATTCAATGCAACAATTTCTAGAATTTCAGTTGAAATGTTCATTCAATACAGAAATTTTAAGAAAAAGCGTTCTGTCCACCGAGGATACTGGTCACGACTCTTGGATGTACCTCTTTTTCAACCTAGATTTACGATCACATTCTTAATTGTTGTGTCCACTATCACAGCTCAGGGATGCGTCAAATTTACCAAAGTGTTTTGGTCACCATGGCACCATTAATGAAATGTGCATACTTTTACAAAAGTTTGTTTCTTGTTTATCCATTGAACTTAAATGATGAGTTACTTGGATAAATGTTCTTTTGAAAATATAATCTTTTGCAGCCATGTTATGACATTTTCATTTTGCTTTGGTTAGTTGGGAGCACCCAGTGTGCAAGTCTAAATATTGAATGGGCATGTAATTAATAAATTGTCATGCTGTCTACCAAACTCTGCCTGATATGGAAAAATGTCACCACTACCTGTAGATGTTAAAGCCTGAATGAGATAATAAAAAATGTAAAGAAACACTGAAAGATAATTTGCTTATTGTTTGGCATTAACTGCTTACTATAGTTGCTGTTCTCAAATCAGTAAGTATGTACAGTGTGGACTAAGTTAAACCCACGGGTCCTTGCCAGGCTGTGTATTACAAAAAACGTTTGAAACTTTTCCAGGCAGGCATAAGGATCTGCCATTGCTGACAGGGTTTTTGTTGCACTCATTTGAAGTGAAGTTCACTTTTACTCAAAATATTGTGTAAATATAATCATTTTCTTTACTCAATTATTTAGGTATTGTTTTAACTCATTGACAGAGTAAAATTTGATTTAACTCAAAATTTAGAGTAGCCTTTACTCAATTTATGAGTAATTGGCTGTTTTACTCAAAATAAAGAGTCACCATGGATGCATTTCTCTTGAGTAATTTTACCTCTACTTTTGAGTTATTTGTACTCGATAAATGAGTATTTTCAACTCAAACTTGTGAGTAAAGTTACTCATTCTGAGTAAACTTACTCATGCTAGTGAGTAATCTTTACTCAGTATTTCTGCTTAAGTTTACTCACTATAATGGGTCACTATGGATGCAACGATTTACTCAGTATTTTGAGTTCAGTTTACTCAGCTTTTTTTACTGTGCAGTGGATAGATATTTCATGATATAACCTCTGCCCAATTCTACCCATTTTTTGTTTCCAGTTGTTGCGAGAGAATACAATCGCGTTTTAATATTCAAGGAGCCAGTAGAGGACAGAATACTTCCAGGTCACTTGATAAGGACGGAAAACGTGGCAAATGAAGGGAGCTGCCGTGTGAGGTGTTTCTTGGAGCCCAACTGTGTGTCCATGAATGTGGGTCCTGCTGACGACCAAGGACAGCGCATCTGTGAGCTGAACGATTTAACAGATGAAAGTCCATTACAAACTGGCTTGCAGGAAGCGACAGGCCACATTCACTATTCAGCTGAGGTATCAGATATTTTTGTTGATTATCATTTATGCTTGTCAGTGTTAAATGTTATTCGCGAAATAGGAATTCGCTTATGCTGGATACAACCAACACTAATGGTAATCAATGGAAGAAAAACGTTTTTAGTTTGCAGCAATTTCACTTTTTAGCTAAATTAAATGTAATCTAGTAAAACGATAATTAATGGGAAAGAGAGCTTTTAAACGCTAAACGAGGGGCATTTGCAAACTCTCTGAGAACTAATCACTATTTAGTGACTAATTTATAATTTTATATAGAGTATCTCCTAAAATAAAATGCTTTCCAACAGAACATTTGTCACAGTAACCCATGCCCTGGAGAGAACTTTATCTGTCAGGTGGGCTTCACAGCTAAACGCTACCGATGTGTTTGCCGTGATGGTTTTAAAGGAGAAAACTGCGACGAAGGTATGACTCGTGAGGTTGACTTTGTTGTTTTGTCTGTCAGTAAGTGTCAGCACATTGTTTGACTCGCAATCCGGGCAGTTCGTTCTCTTTACTTAAACGTGGTCAATGTGCCAGGTTTTAGAGTAGTTATTTTGGATTATTCGCCTTATTCGATTTATTATATTGCCCCAGCGTGTAGGTAGGGTTTTTAAGGTGGTCTAATACTGACTGAAGATGGCCGAGTCATCGGAGACGGAGCTTTTCCACAGGGTGCAGGTGCCTTCCTGAATTCCACCCTAAGCTAACGTGACAACTGTCAGCTAGTAGGCCAGTGTGCCTTGCGGATCCCTTTTTCCCAACTTGTTGACTTCTAGGAAACGCACCCGATTGAAAATGATTGACATTTTTAAAAAATTAAAAATTTATTGCATGCGCCTGCCTACTTACATTTGCAAATGCTACCGTTTAGGCTTTAGGACAACAGATCTTATTTGAAACAGTTTTAAATTGTTAAAGCTTTTTATCAGTTTTTGCATTTTTTTCCCCTTAATTTGTCCTCGCAGACATCAATGAATGTAGACTTGACACAGGATGTGGAGGTGGGTCAGTTATACTTACATGAATTTTATTAAAGACTTATCCGGCGTCATTTTTCTCTAAGCTTCCCCCCTCCCTTCCTTTTTTTTTTTTTCATTCTTAATTTTGTCAGTTTGTGGATTAAAAGTCTGCCTATCGTTCCTATTCTTTTTAATTATAGACTTAATCATTGTAAAATGTGCGACTCCTTTTAAATTTGATCCGAAGATTTTTCCTATAAAAGCACTTTAAGCAACGGAAGTCACTACTTCTTCATCAGTGACTTTAGGGACGGACCATTAGAAAACTTATGGGGGGGCGGGCGAAGTACAAAAAAGATATTCGCGCGAGGGAAAATTAACTGAAAAAAAATTCGTGCGCCCCATTTAATCCTAAAAAATATTCATGTTATGGCCTAAAAAAAATTCATACAAGGAATTTGATAGCGAAAAAAAATTCCTGCAGCTCGAAAATTCCCTCCCCCCATAACTTTTCTAATGGTCCGTCCCTTATCACTGTAAACAGAAACTACTTTAACGGATTGGATGACCTTTGTGACCTTTTTGTTTCTTGTTGAAATTCAGCGATTTTTCGATATATAATCAGATACATTTTTACAAAATGTGTTGATGAAAATTACTTGCTTCTGATTGGACAAAGTGGAGTACACCAAATCCCAAATTTACGCTCTTAAAGCAGCAAAAACCATAACGTTTTAGTAAAATCCAACTAGTGATCTATTATCAATACTGCGTTCTGATTGGTTGAGCTTACTACTAGGCTATATGTTATAGCCCACTAGTAGCGAAAAGCGCTGGATTTTTGGCGGCAAAAAAGGATTAAAGTCTTGTTTTGTCTCGATATTTTTGACCAACTAGTTGGATTTTATTTACTAAAACAATTATTCCTCTCGCCCTCATGGCTTCTGAGTCAATAGCCCAATAGCCCATGAGGCCTATTGGGGGGCTCTATAACTCTAAAACTGATCATCCTAGAGCCGCCAAATTACACACAATAAAGTACTCAAGTAGCTCCCACTAGGTCTGAATAGGGTTAAAACAACTAAAAACAATCTAATGTTTGAGCTGACCTAATCAGTTTCAAAAAGCAAAATTAATCTGTCAGCAGTTTCAAAATATCCTCCAACAGCAGTTTCATCAGCTCCAGATACATCAACAGCATCTTCATCAGCTACTCAATCGGGTAGGTATTTTCCTTAGGTGATCAGGATTGGCTCATAAGTAGAGAATATTGAATACACGGATATCGGTTTAGCTACTTAATTTTAGAGCTGTAATGATTGTACATTTTGCTTTCTTGTACGGTTGAATTCGCGAACGGGCAAGATGAAGCAAATACTGTGTTCTGATGAGCTACCCGAGCGAGCAAGAAACAGTCCCTCGGGATTTCCCGCATTGGTCCAGCAAGCACAGGTTCACATCATTTGGGCCATATATAGTAAATCCTCTATTGACCAGGCATGAGGTGAAGATGGCGGCTGGATATAATTGCCCTTTGTTTTGCTTTGTTTTTTTCTTTTTCTTTTCTTTTCTCTGGCTAAGTCACTTACAAACTGGGCGAGGGAAAAATATTGTGTCAAAGTATTTGTTATCGTGCTCCTTAACAGATGCATCGTCATCAGAACCCACAGTGATATCAACAGCAGTTCCCACAGCTTCACCAACTTCGACAAAACAACCTTCTCAACAAGGTAGGTATTTTTCTGTATCGTTGCTTCGACTTATACTGGCCTTGTCTGCATTTTTTTTTTGTTTGTTTACCTTGACCTCGTCTTGGTCCATAAACTCGCCCCCTCACCCCCACCCACAACCCCCTAAAAAATATCATTATCGTGCCGTAATGACCTCACACTAAGCCATTAACGCATAAATATCGTCTCCTACCATCTGATTCTCTTTTGCAAAACCAATAACTTATTTACTGATAGCAATTCTCGCACGCATCCTTAAGAGATGTATCGTCATCAAAACCCACAGTGATACCAACAGACATTTCCACAGCTTTACCAGATTCAACAAGCAAACCTACTCCACTCGGTGGGTAATTTTCTATGTCTTTGCTTCGGCTTGTATTGACCAACTATTGTAGCTAAACCTAGATTTGCTACAAGTCGACCTCTCTTAAGTCCTTTGTGGGCGAAGCTTCAAAGAGGTCGCAGAGCGACCGAACCAACCAGGAAAAAAATTTTAAGGACTTTTAGAACGTCTAAGCTAAACTATTCTGAATCCATTGATACCGGACAGGTGTAATTATTTACAGTTCAAGCCGTTTGAGCTGTTTTTGTCTGCTCGTTTTCTCTTTTGCGAAAATTCTCAACTTGAATCTGACGTTTGCCGTTTGCCGTATACGTGAAGCTTAAACTCTTTAATATCTCTGACTTCTAAGTTGCGCTGTGCACATCATAAGTCTGTTAACAAAAGCAAGAGCCCATGGCTTCTGTCTAGGGGGTCACTTCTTCTTTATACGAAAAGTAAAGCGCTGATAATTGGGAAGGAAGAGAAGCATGAAAATGCTCTCTGAGTTAAACTACTGTTGCGACCTTTTCGTGATCTTCCATTACTTCTGGGAAGCATGACTCACAATATGCGACTGAACTGCCTGCTTTCCAGCACTTGACAGTTTGAACTTTCATCATTTTCAAAGAGAGAACAAGGAGTACAGAAATACTCCTGGCACCGAAAAATAAGTATAATTTGTATTCTTAAAGCAAAATGAGCAATACTGTTCTTCTTTACCCGCCCTTTCTCAATTTAGTGTTCTGCGCATGGCAAGTACGTAAAAACGAGCGGGATTGTCGGGGTAAAAAATTATAAATTTAATGTACGCATGATGCATACATAAGGTTCGGCACTTGAGAGGAGCGCCGTATGAATCACCTGCCGCGCCATTATGTCATATAATGCGACAGACAGAGTTGAATATCGCGTTGCACTGGGGCCGTATCGGGAAGCAAAATATTACGAGGTAGAAACTACTTTTGCACTTTTTTACTCTTTTGAGCTCAAACTTTGCAAGATGGTAAAACTTTGTATTCCAAAAAATCCTATGTTTTTTGGTTTTCAAATGGCAAAACAAATAGATAATTTTTGAAGAGCATGACGTGACAGAAACAAAGTTGAAAAAAAGTTTGGAAAAGCTCAATTGCTTTAGGAGATATAGAATCTTAAAATGTACTTATGCTTCTAAAAATAGTAACAAAATAGCGGGAAATTCAAAAATCAAAACTTAATAACTCTTTCACCAATTGAGCTTTTCAAAAATATTTTTCACATTCTATTCTATCGCGTCGTGGGTTAAATGTAGTTTTTAATTTCAAAGTCAAACTTATTTTTAAGTTATTTATTTGTGTTGCCATATCTTGAAATTTTAATTTTGCTGACAGTCTCGTGGCGCCATTTTCCCGCCAAAAAACGTTGAAATGAAAAAAAACAAAAAACATAGGATTTTTTGAAATACAAAGTTCTACAATACCTGCAAAGTTTGAGCTCAAACAAATTAAAAAATGCAAAACTAGTTCCTACTTCGTAATATTTTGCGTTCTATACTCCCTCCGTGTTGTTGCCGCACTAAATTAAACCGCTGTACCAACTGACTCAGACGCCGCCCTTTTGCCCTGCTTAATTCATCTCTAAGGGTTCGGCACGTGTCTACGGTGGAGCTGGTTCTTAAAGGAGTGCTTTGCAGTCGCCTCGGTAGTAAAGGACCACTGAGAACGCCGGGCTTTGTCCGTACAGAGGTCCGACGGCTATACCATGCTGATGAGCCCCAATAAGGGCGAAACAGCTGTCCATGGCTGCCACTGTCCTGGAAATATGGTTTTGCGCATGCGTAAGGTAATGGCCAAACCCCGCAACCGCGCAGCTGGTACGTGTGCTTCAGTAGTAATATTGGTATTGTCTGAACCGGGCTTTAGTCCACGGTGGGGCCAAACCACCTCTAAATGTCTTATTAAGACTAAATTTACGTATCTTTTACATTTCTTTTCATTTCTTGACCAAGCTCCAGATTGTTGACCAAATGATATTAAGTTTTTGTTTGACGTGAAATGCCAAATTGTGACGTCATAGCGGCTGACGTCACCAAAATGGGTTAAATGTAGTTTTTAATTTCAAAGTCAAACTTATATCTTCTGAGAGAGCTTTAGAAGAGGATGAAAACAGCGAAAACTGTTCCGGCCTGGCTACGACACGTAAAACCCAAGTTATGATACTTCATAGAAATTTGAGTGCACCCCCTGAAACGATACTTTTCCGTTTTTTGGCTCCCGCTCCAACATTCGAGCTATACCTTGACTGGAAACGCTTACTACGCAGGCTACCTTAAAAAGCGATCCCTATGATATTATTTTTTTTTACATTTTTTTGCAAAATAATCTGATTTTCCGGTAACACAAACCTTTTATAGTTGGCCAAAATCGTATCATTTTAGATTTTCGTTTTTCTGACTCAAAAACACTAATTTAAGCAAACCGAAAAATTATCACGTGACATTTTATGAGAGTAAAGATGTGTCATGTGTAACTTAAATAGCAAGGGCGACTTGACAATAAAATTCTTAAAATTTAGACTTATTTTATAAGCGGGGTACCCCGTTTTTGTGCTTCGAATTTATTTGTGTCATGTTTCAGCTCATATTTGAGATATTAGAGAACTTTTTTCAGCTTTCAACTTCCCTTGAATATTTCGGTATAAAAAATCGGGAGATTCAAAAGTTTAAAATTTACGTATGAATGACGTTAGCAAATATGACGTCATAATTTGACATTTGGTGTCATTCTATACGCCATTTTTATTGGCGTGGTGTTACCGTATTTTCAGGCCAAGTTTGGTAAGGAAAGAGTTAAAGCTAAAGTTATTCTAAATTAACCACAATTGCCACGCTTTAATAATTCCTTTTTTTGGGGGGGGGGGGGGGGATGGTTTGGCCCACCGTGATTCGTCGTTACCCGTGATGGTAGCATTGCGTCAATTCAGTTTTTATAAACCTGATAAAACGAGGAACGGGAAATGGGGACGACGAAAGGGAACGGAAAAATGAAAATTGGGAACAAAACTTAACTTGGACCCTAGCCCTATCAGTAAATTCATTACCCATTTTCTTTCTCCTTCCAATTTTCATTTTCCCGTTGCCCTAGCCTCCCCGCAGAACCCCAACGGACGTCTGCGGGGAGGCTACCGTTGCCCGTGCTTGTTCCCGGGGGGGGTACTCCCATACATTACCTATACGGGTATGTGCCGCCCAACGGGGTCGTGATTTTGAAGCTCCTGATTTAGAACGGGGTATCCATTTCAGAGGCGTTTTCTAGAACGGGGTATAATATTTCGAACGCACGAAAGCTCCAGTTTTGTAAGCAGCCATTTGAAATTATTCAAGGACAGATTGCTTTTAAAAATACGGTTCAATGCGTTAACAAGCAAACTGTTGTACTCTTGTTGCACCCTAGAACGGAGTATAAAAAATTGGCCCATTTCTAGAACGGGGTATCAATTTTAGGGGAAATTTTTTTTAGAACGGGGTGCCAATTTGGAGTCCCGGGCGGCACATACCCACCCAAAAAATACCCAAGTGCCCCGGGTGCTTGTTACCGTTCCCGGTTCTCTGTCTTAGTAACATCGGCTATTAGGAGTGAAGAGTTCGCAATCATATTTTCCAGGTTTGTTATCACGTATACACCGCAGGTATCACTGACGTATGGAGCCAGCTTCGTCTAGTTTTGACTTCCACTAAGGACGAATGAAATGCATCAAACGCAATCTGATAACGCGCGTTTGGACCTTCTGACACTTGCAATTTAATCACACATGTTTAGACCATCCATCACGTGAATCCTATACGCAATGCACAGCGTTGGAGCAAAGCGTTTTGACCTTCGATCATTGTCACCTGCACTCCGTAACCTTTGGTTACTACTAGCTTCAATTAATTTTATGTTTTTGGTCTTCCTTTTTCTATTGTTTCTTAACTCAGCTTGTCAACCAGGGTGGATTGGCAGCGGGACGTCGTGTTATAAATTTGTTACGTCACCAAAATTGACATGGGATAAAGCAAAGGAGGAATGCAAAAACTGGCAAGCGGGATTGGTAAAGGTTGAATCTCCTGAGGAAACTGAATTCATAAAAACAAATGTTTTGCCGACCGGCGGAAAGGATATTTACTGGATTGGACTTTCTGACTCTGCCAATGAAGATGACTGGATGTGGACGGACGGAACTCAATTGGATTCGCAAGGATACACAAACTGGGGAAGTGGACAGCCGGACAATTTCGATAACCAAGATTGTGTATTAGTACGAATAAGAGAATCAGGTAAAGACTATTACGGGAAGTGGTATGATCGACGATGCTCAGATAGAGAGAAATACATTTGTGAAAAGCCAAATCATGTTGATAGTTTATAAGGACTGAATCTTGCGTGAAGCTCTATTGTTATCACAATGAAAGCTAGCCTGCGTACAGACGAAACTAAAACAGCGCCGAACTGTGTACCAGGATTTGAGTACGTGCCTAAACTTTGATAGATTGTGCTAGCATAATTTTTGGCATAATTCGTCACCACGAGCATAATTTTCACCTATTTTCCAGAAAAAAAAGCACTGCTAGCTTTGCAGCACAAAAATTGTCATTTATTAATCATGCAACCATTCTTTTATTTGGCCCGAAATCAGTGGCAACAAAATCATTTGTTTTTTTGTGTACTTTGGTGACATTCATGGAAACTTGGTCCCACAGGAAGATTCACAGGAACTAACCCAGGATTCTTTCCACAGGACTCAACGTACGCGCATAATAAGCTCGGTTACCCAAGATGGTGTCCGCCTGCTTAATTGTCAATTGTTTGATTTTTCATAGATGTCAATTAGTGAGTTATGCACTCGTAAAGTTTTAAGATGTCACTAGGTTAGTGTTTTGCCATTTGTTGTTTTGTAGTTATTGAAGTGTTTTTACCAAATTTAAAACCACAAAAAAAAGAAAAAAAAATGGAAGCATAATTTCTGTATTTTTGTTGCTAACATGAGCAGATTTCGTAGTTATTACCGTGATTTTAGGAATATCCAAGCACTGCTAGTAACATCATAATATGCTACTTTTGCGAGCACAATGTACAAAAGCTTTTAAGTGCTATGATTAGCATGTTAAAAAAGCCATTGTCCATTTGCCAATTTAGTTAACAGCATTCGGAAAGCACGTCCAATGATTCGTTGAGTTCGTTGGGTGCCCAGAACAAGGATCTGGGCACTGCTTCGCAGACGTTACTAACCGGGGATAAGTTAAGTCTGCTACTCAGGCTAAATGAGAGCCCGCAACCAAAGACATCTTCTTTGGAAAAGCATGGCGTTTTAAATTAAGCGTCTGCATGTTTTGCTGTGTTTAATGCTTTTGTTTGTTTTGATTTTTTTCCTTTGTTTGCTGCTTCCTTTTCGTTTTCTTGAATTTGACATTTTGCATTTTTATTTCACTTTGGGTTGTTTCATCCATGGCTACAACGTCTCCATGCCCTAATGTAGGCTGTTATTTCAGGAACCAAAGGAACTGGAATTTCATTTGGCCTGCTGAAGCCTTAGTTTTATCAAGAGAAAATTTGAATTCCCCTGGTTTCATACAGTCCGGTGGTATATTTCCGCGTAATTTGCGCCATATGTTTGCACCGTTCAGTGGCGGATCCAGACCTTCGGGCCTTCGGGCCTCAGTTTGTTCTGCAGGGTGTCCCAAAAGTTCGTTCCTCTAGTTTATAAGTCTGTATTTCAGTACGATTGGACTTGGTAAGCAAATCATTTCAACAAAAGTTGTGTCTTTCAATATAATTCACTATTTTTGTAGTTGTTGCGCCATCTTTTGACTCAAATATTCGATTTGTGTACTTTCGCCCCAAAGGTGCGCGTGCGCGAGTATATTTTCCAGCCTTTTTTTTTTTTTGTATTTTATAGCCTGAATTGCTCTAACTCCTTCCTTGTTTTTGGTGAATATCGAGAAAGATAAACCCCCTTAATGCAAAAACGTTCAGTCACGTGAGAGCATAAGCATGTATACTTCGATTTACTGGCTTATCTGTTATAGAAACTGCTAAAAAAACTTGAAAAATCCGAACGTTGGGTGGTAAAATGATCATGAAGAAATGAAGGTTTTGAAGGCAAGAAACGAGAGGGAAGACCAAACGTCCTGAATAAAGCAGATAAAATAGTTTTAAAGAAGGCTAGGTACAAAAAAGGAGACATCTCCAAGAGGAAACTCTCCCATGGTTAGCAAGCCAAGTCCAGAAAAAGTCATGAAAAGCTGTTAAAAATGTTAAAAAGATTAGAAGCCCTTGAGATAGCCAATAAAAAAACTCTGCTTAGTCTGCCAAGTAACGCCCAGCTCGTCTCAAATTTGTAAAGAAGTACAAAAGCCTCGCTGTGGAAGGGATGATTATCTTTTTTGGATGAATGCCCAATACATATATTTTTTCAGCTGCCTAAAGTAAACAAATAATATATAGATTTAGCCAGGGCTAAAAGCGAGGCTCCCATTATATATTTATAATTTAAATCAAACAATAAACTTGTATTCCACAATTCAGTTAACTTTAGAGCACATAGCACATTCATGTGACTTTTGAGGGAAAGGCTAAGTGATTTTAGAGAAAAATAATTTGCAAACAGCCCAAGAGTGAACAAAATCTTACATCGAGTTGATAACCTCATATGTACACCCAAAAAATAGCAATCATCTTCGACCACATTTAAGAGCCATAATGGCTCTTGATCACCGTAAGATTAATTAGGCCTGGAAAAAAAATCAGGTTGAATTTTTTTGCGTTCGACAAGTTTACTTTACAAAATCTTGCCAACAAATCTGGTTGCGTGTAAACAACCCTTTCATACCATTTATACATCACATCTGAGGTGAAACAGTACTATGAGGTACTGTTTTAATCATACAGACCTCGGACAGAATTCAGTATTTCACAGTTTTGCAAGAGAAATTGCACTCATTCAATTGCACGCGTGGGCTTTTAGCTAAACCGTTAAAAAAATGTCCAAAATCACGTATACAGCCAGCCGGTTCTCACTTTTGCAGTGCGAGCTGTAGCGAATGTTTGAACGAACATACTAGAGTTAAGCTCCAACACAATAAAGAAATTATTATGTTTATTTTTTATTTAATAGTTTTATCGATCTGTAATCTTTAAAAGCGTTTGATACGCGCGGCATTTTGAGTACTCCTGCAAGCGATGTTCACTGAACGACTGAAAACAAACGGCACAGCGATTAAAATTACAAGAGAGACTACCAGCAATCAATAAAGGAAATATAATTCGGCGAAACATATACAGAGACAACATTTTTCATTCACGAAGACAAATATTAAAGTGTCTCTAAAAATCCTGAGTCTTCAAGCTTAAAGCGTAAGTTTATGTTTTAAGCCGGCTTCCCGGTATTTACTTTTTTCACAGATGAACTCGAGGCAAGAAAATCGCTCAAAGCTTTCTTTTACTGCCAGAATTATAACTAAATGTTCTATGGAACGTTTTCTTTCTATCTGCGGTGAGAAAATGTCTAAAGACTTTTTAAAGTTGTGTAAGCTTATATCAAGTTTACCTGATTCGTGGTCAGATCAAATTGTCTCAAATCTTACAAACGTGCATAAACTACATAGCCGCATAAACTACGCTCGACTTCTTTAAATTAGATATAAAAAACAAACATCAAACACAATAATTACTGGGGCTTACCATTCGAGATGCAGCTCCTGAAAGGTATCAAGGAAGGCCAGTATCGCTTCAGAGTTTTCAGCCTCTACGCGCATCAAGCAAGGTGAAAAACAAAAACGTTGACATCCGAAATCGGATTCCCGACTTTGACAAGTGATGTATTAATTTCTCAACCAAAAACCAACTAGCCATGAATAACAGAAGGCTCCTGATAGCAGCTAAATTTCATTTTGTGCATCCAATGGAAAAAGACAGTTAAAAACATCACAATTTGACACAAAACTCTCTCAGCTTCAGCTGTCAAAGTAAACAAGATTCAAAATGCTGCATAAATTTTCCGCATGAGCTCACCTGTCAAATTTTGACCAATCAGAGCTTTAAAAATGGATGTAGAGCGTGACCAACGCGTGACCATGGTGAGCAAAGTCAAAAGCAACTGTCTTGCCTGTAATAGCTGGCTGAATTTTCGGGTCCGAGGTCAGTTTTAAATCAAAATTTTAATTGTGCGGCCCAAAAACAAAACATATTTCATATGAATGAAAAAAAATCAAACTTGAGCCTGCGATCATTTGAAAACTAGTAACTTGTCAGCGGATAACTTCAAAAAAATACTTGACCTCGATGGGTTAACACCTGAGCCCGCGATACGGTCAAGTGGTACTGGTCAGCGGGTACCCTGTTTTGACAGCCGTCAATTGATCAAAACATTGATGTCTAATGGATGTGTGCATTATCAGTTTTCCTGTACTCTCAAACTAGCTAGAAAGTATGAGATTGAACATTGATCGCGATCTAGTAAAACAACTGGTCAGCGGACAGCTTCCAAATAACTCACGTCACCTTGATGAGTTGACACATGAGCCCCCGATATGGCAATGTGATACTGGTCAGTGGCTATCTTGTTTTGACAGCTGTCAATTGACCATATCGTGAATGGCCAATGTAAAAGATGTGGATTTGCTAAGACACGCCTGAGACACCCCTCCCTTCCTTTTGATAGTCTCCCCTACCCTACCCGTACAATCTGTAGACGCGTACGTACGTACGCTCGGTCAGTCACGTGACAACCAAAAGAAAAGAGGTTGACCATATTCTGTGAGTATGGGGCTCTGTCCCACGCGCGCTTCGCGCGCGAGGGAGCCCCGATATTATTTGGGGGCTGAACTGGCTCCTGCGTACCAGGTGATAAAAAGACTCAGCATGGATCATCTGTGAGTCTACACGCTGTATCCCACTTCATGCGGCAACGGCTACAGAATGTGATAAAAAAACAAAATGGGTATGCCAGTTACTATTTCAAGTAAAAATAAAAAGTTTTGGTCAAAAGTTACAGTGTATGAAATTAGAGGAACCAACTTTTGTGACACCATGTAAACAAGCAAGCAAGCAAGCTTTTCTTTGGGGATTCAAAAGCTTCTACGTTTGCCCGTATCCGTATTCAAATGGAATTTCCCCACTCTTAGTTCGTCAGCTAATTTATAAAGCGATCTTCTGCTCGTGCGAAAATTTTATCGCCAATCCTCTTCATTTACTGTTTCACTTACACAATTAATTGTCCCACCAAACACTAGTTCGCTCGTTTAACTTGTTTAAGGCGTCCAATTCGTCCGTCCGACATGGAAAGAAGGTTCAAATGTCAAACAACCGTTTGGCATAATTGAGGTGCACAGTAATCATAGCTAGGTTTAACTGCACACAGGTTATAAGACT